CAGCAGGGTCTGGGGGACCTCCTGGCCGGCATCCAGCCCCGGCATGGTGTGGGGGTCTGGAGGTGGTGGCCGTGCCCTCTCACCCCACCTGACGTGGCCGGCTTTTGCTTGTAGACCCCAAATTTGTGGCAGCCCACTTGATCCCGGACAACAATGACCGGGACAACGACAAAGCCTATTTCTTCTTCACGGAGAAGGTGGTGGAAGCAGACAGCAAGGAGCACGCCATCGTCAGTCGGGTGGCGCGGGTCTGCGTGGTAAGATGCTGGTGGGGACCGCAAGGGACAGGGATGTGCCAGGTCACAGCGGTGGCCCTGATGCTCCCTGTCCCTGCAGAATGATGCTGGTGGCCAGAGGGTGCTGGTCAACAAGTGGAGTACCTTCAACAAAGCCCGGCTGGTGTGCTCCGTCCCCGGCCCCGGTGGCATCGACACCCACTTCGATGAGCTGGGTAAGGGGTGCATGGAGCTGGGGACCTCACCAGGGCTGGTCCCTTAGTCGGTGGCTTTGGGCAGCCCCTGGGCTTCCAGGAGAAACCCCATGGTTTCATCCCCAGAGGATGTCTTCTTGCTGAGGACGAAGGATGGGAAGAGCCCGGAGATCTACGCCCTCTTCAGCACCATCAGGTGGGTGGTCCAGCTCCAGCCTCTGGGGACATCCAGCTGCAGCTGCCCATGACCTGCCCTGTCACTGTCACCACGTGGCTGCTGGCTGCTCCCCAACCTCCACCAGCTCTGCCCTGGTCCATACGGAGATGTTGGTGCTCCCATGCCCCCACCGATGCTGCTGGCACTGAGCATGGCTCTGCTCACCCCACTCACCGTCCCTTTTCAGCCATGTCTTCCAGGGCTCCGCCGTCTGTGTGTACCGCATGGCCGACATCCGGGAGGTCTTCAACGGGCCCTTCGCCCACCGGGAGAGCCCCCACCACCAGTGGGGTGCCTACGAGGGCAGGGTGCCCTACCCAAGGCCTGGCGTGGTGAGCGACTCCCTGGAGTTCGGGGTCCCCTCCGCTCCTCCGATTGCTCTTCGGCGGGGGGTGGTGGGGCCAATCCCCATCTTCTCACCTGCTGGGATGGGCTCCCTATGGAATCCACCCTGGGACAGCTGAGGATCAAGGTCTGGCAAAGGGGTAGAGAAGATGGATCCCAAATTGGAAGGGGACCCAAACCAGCTCTGCGGGGCGATGGAGAGGGAAGGAGGGATGGGTGCTGGGGTGGCCAGGCTGACCCGGTCCCCTCTCGTCCCCGCAGTGTCCCAGCAAGACCACCAACCAGCCCCGGCGGCAGTACGGCACCACCAAGGACTTCCCCGACGAGGTGCTGCACTTTGCCCGCGCTCACCCCCTCATGTACAAGCCCGTGTACCCCCGGCACCGCCGGCCCCTCCTAGTGAAGACCAACCTGCCCCACCGTCTGCGCCAGCTCGTGGTGGACCGGGTG